CCCCAAAACCCCAAAACCCCAAAACCCCAAAACCCCAAAACCCCTTTTGACCGTTTGACCATTGAGATAATTTTTTAAAGAATTGATGTAGTTACGCCCTGACAAGGTGTGATCACCTTGTCATCTTAAATTATGAGGACTCAAGGATGCTAGATTTAACAATTCCTCCCTCTTGTAGTTCTCTTCAGTCGGCTTGGTGATGCTTGATCTACTGTCCTCTGACGCTTTGTAACTAGATCAGAACCTTTCGAGCAAGATTTCTTTGGTGAAGTGAGTTTCATACTTTCTTTGGTAACACGCTTGATCTCTCTTTTAAGCTTCCCTTCGTACTCTCATTTCTCAAGGAGGGTCTTTTTCATATTTTCCAGCATTATCCGGAGCTTACTATTTTCTTCAGTAATTTTAGACAATTTTGATGTCTTTTTATCTAAAAAGTTCTGTTTTTCTCAAAGAAGTGTCCGAAGGGTTTCGATTCAGGAATGAGTATCCTTATCCCTTCTCAATATAGTTTTTAGGCAAGTTGTGCAATAAATCTCAGTAAATGCTCAGTCATCTTCCTGATGGGTCTCTACTTGGTCTCTGGTTCCTATATAAGCACATTTTGGGAAATTCTGGCATTTTCGAGCAATTTTGCAATTAGAAACTAAGTGGTTTTGGAGGTTCTTTTTCATGATCTTCTTTTTATATCAGTATTGTCAAGTTCTGAATGAAAAGTCTCATCTTTCTTCATGCTTATTTAAGATCCTTCAGGGTTTTAAATGAGGACTCTCAACCTTTCTGGGCATTCTCTCATTTGAATTTGAGACATTTTAGTAAGAATTTCTGGTTCTCATCGTGTAGATCTGAGAACTCTCCGGAGCATTCATTCAGGCAGTTGGAGTTGGTCTCGATGACATAATTTTCCTGGCACTCTACTCAATAACATAACTTACAAGAGTCTCAAACTATAGAAGATGCTTGAAGAATGTCATGACATAGGTTGCACTTCAGCATTTGAATGACATTCATGATACCTTTATCATTAGAAGTGAATATTGCCTTGACTCGTTCTTGATTCTGAGTGGCATTTTCGATAAAAATTCTGCTGAAAAGGCTCAAGCAATTATCTTGCTTGTCTAGTCAGTATTTTGTGCCATGAGTTTTACAGTAATCTTCGACATTTTCAGGCCCTGAATAGGTATCATCAGTTGACTCTGACTGAGGAGTTGAGCTATACCTTACTGCTTTAAGGCTAACAGTCTGTTGTCTTGGTGGTTTTGATATCATATTCGACTGGAGGAAATTAATAATGAGAGGAAAGACATCTTTATATCTAGAATATATAATAATCACACAGGTGTAAATTTGAGAAGTCACCAGATCTGATCAACCAGGGAACGGGTTAAAGGGGTTTTGGGGTTTTGGGGTTTTGGGG